GCAAAACTTAAGGAGTTAGAAGAGATGGATATAATAGAACGTGTAGAGGGTCCCACCCCATGTGTGAGTCCAGTGGTTATTGTCCCAAAGCCAAATGGGGATATCCGTCTGTGTGTGGACATGAGGTGTGCAAACAAAGAAATTGTTAGAGTAAGACATCCTATTCCAACGGTAGATGAAGTAATCAGTGAATTAAATGGGAACAAGGTATTTACCAAGTTGGATCTGAACAAAGGATTTCATCAGTTGGAATTGAAACCGGGTATCTCAAGGGAGGTTACCACATTTGTCACTCATGCTGGGTTGTACAGATACCAACGTTTAATGTTTGGAATTAATTCAGCCCCCGAGCTATTCCAACACGTCGTTCGACAAGTACTCGCGAACTGTGAGGGTTGTCAAAATATCGCTGATGATATTGTAGTTTATGGCCGTAGTACACAACAGCATGACTTAAGGCTGAGAAAGGTGAAACCGAGAAAAATGCATGTTTACATGCAGTGAAATAGAATTCATGGGTCATCTGTTGTCACAAAGGGGGATTGGCCCAACAGAGGCCAGGGTAAGGGCATTAGGAGAAGCCAGAGAACCAAAAGATAGCGGAGAAGTGAGAAGTTTTCTAGGGTTGGTAAACTTTAGTGCTAGGTACATTCCCGACTTGGCTGCCAAAACTGAACCACTTAGGCGGTTGACGAAAAAGGATGTTCCATTTAAATGGGAAAAGGAACAACAAGATGCATTGAATGCCCTACGAAATGTGTTGGTAGAAGACACACTAGCATATTTTAATCATTCTGATAAGTTAAGGGTAGTAGCTGATGCAAGTCCAGTCGGGCTTGGGGCGGTGCTCCTTCAGCTCCAGGAAGGTGACTGGAGACCTATATGTTATGCTAGTAAAATCCTTTCAGAGACAGAGAGAAGGTACTCACAAACCGAAAAGGAAGCGTTAGCCCTGGTATGGGCAGTGGAGAAATTTAATATGTACCTTTTTGGAAGGGAATTTGAGCTGGTCACAGACCATAAGCCATTGGAAGTAATTTACTCGTCAAAATCCAGACCTAGTGCAAGAATCGAAAGATGGGTGTTGCGGTTGCAACCATACAATTTCAGGGTAATCTATAGACCGGGAAACAAGAACATAGCTGATTCTTTGTCACGTTTAATACAGCAAAAGAATGATGAACTGCCATTCGACGATACGGACGAGTATGTCAACTTTGTGTCAGTCAAAGCAATTCCCAAAGCTATGACAATGGATGAAATCGGAGAAGCATGTGCAAATGATGAGAAGATGCGTGATCTGTATGAGTGTGTTGCAACTGGGAGATGGGAAGGAAACAAGTGTCCAGAATATCGGCACGTAGCACAAGAGTTGTGTGTAGTAGGAAAACTAGTAATGAAGGGGACAAGAATTGTTGTACCAAAGAGTCAGAGGTGGACTATAATGGAGATTGGCCATGAGGGACACCCTGGAATCGTTAACATGAAACAGAGACTCAGAACAAAAGTATGGTGGCCAGAAATGGACAAGGACGTTGAAGAGTTTGTAAAGAAATGTCCGGGCTGCCAGTTGGTAGGACAAGCGGAACCACCAGAACCTTTAATGAGTACCGAGCTTCCGGATGGTCCATGGAGATCGGTAGGAGT